TTCTGGTAGTTGTTGGCCGTCGACCTGCCACGCGACGGCCTTCTCCAAGGCCAGGGCTGCGCTCCGACTGGCGGTCCCGATGTCCGCTGCTGCGCCATCTCGTTCTGCTGGTGGCGCTGGAACTGCTGGTTGCACTGGTGCTGCTGTGCGGAGTGGTGCTGGTCCAACACCTGCGCCGCCGAACAGAGCCTCAGCAGCACCCTGGCCTCTGCGCGCTGAGCCTCAGCCTCAGCCTCAGCCTGCTTCAGCCTCAGCCTCAGTCTGCCTTCAGCCTCGGCCTCAGCCTCAGCCTGCCTCAGCCTCAGCCTGCCTCGGCCGCAGCATCAGCCTGCCTCAGCATTCAAAATGTGGCCCAGGAATGGAGTTCTGGGAAATAGAAGAACACGAAGTGGCCTACAGTTGGCTCCGGGCATTCAAAATCATGCCCAGGAATCGAGTTCTGGGAACTCGAAGACCACGAAGTGGCCTACAGTTGGCTCCGGGCATTCAAAATGTGGCCCGGGAATGGAGTTCTGGGAACTCGAAGAGCACGAAGTGGCATACAATTGGCTCCGGGCATTCAAAATGTGGCCCGGGAATGGAGTCTGGGAAGTGCGAAGAGCCACGAAGTGGCCTTACAGTTGGCTGTGGCCTACAGTTGGTTCGGGGCATTCAGGATGTGGCCGGGGAATGGAGTTCTGGGAGGTCGAAGAGCACGAAGTGTGTGACTGTTTGCAAAAGCGAGTGCGGCGGCAGCCGCGGCGGCAGCCTGTCCGGGTCCCGCCCAGACCCCCTCTGAGGAGTCATGATGCTTTCTTTTGAGACCACTAGGAACCTATCAGCAAGAGCTGTTAGGTAAATATCCCGGCAAAGCAACCTAACAGCGATGTGTAGGAGCATATCTGGAAGCATTCCCCTTTTTTTTGTTTTTTTTTTTTTTTTTTTTTTATTTTTTTTTTTTTTTTTTTAAGATTTTTTTTTTTTTTTTTTTTTTTATTTTTTTTTGTTTTTTTTTTAAGATTCGGATGAGAATCAGTTGTAGAATTCTGCTGTCCTCGCAGTCGTAGTCGCATTCGCGATGACAGTCGCAGTGGCAACGGCAGTCGCAGTCACAGCCTCAGCCTCAGCCTGCCTCAGCCTTAGCCTCAGCCTGCCTCAGCCTCAGCCTGCCTCAGCCTCAGCCTCAGCCTGCTTCAGCCTCAGCCTCAGTCTGCCTTCAGCCTCGGCGTCAGCCTCAGGCTGCCTCAGCCTCAGCCTGCATCAGCCTCAGCCTCAGCCTGCCTCAGCATCAGCCTGCCTCAGCCTCTGCCTCAGCCTCAGCCTCAGCCTCAGCCTGCCTCAGCCTCAGCCTCAGCCTGCTTCAGCCTCAGCCTCAGTCTGCCTTCAGCCTCGTCCTCAGCTTCAGTCTGCCTTCAGCCTCAGCCTGCCTCAGCCTCAGCATCAGCCGGCCTCAGCATTCAAAGTGTGGCCCGGGAATGGAGTTCTGGGAACTCGAAGAACACGAAATGGCCTACAGTTGGCTCCGGGCATTCAAAATCATGCCCAGGAATGGAGTTCTGGGAACTCGAACACCACGAAGTGGCCTACAGTTGGCTCCGGGCATTCAAAATCATGCCCAGGGATGGAGTTCTGGGAACTCGAAGACCACGAAGTGGCCTACAGTTGGCTCCGGGCATCCAAAATATGGCCCGGGAATGGAGTTCTGGGAACTCGAAGACCACGAAGTGGCCTACAGTTGGCTCAGGGCATCCAAAATGTACGCCGGGAATGGAGTTCTGGGAGCGCCAAGAGCGATTTGCGAGGATGTCTCATTTCGATGGATGGCGGCGGCAGCGCGCCGGCAGATCGCGCGCCTCGCCCAGACACCCTGGGAGGAGCTCCAGGCTCTGTTTGAAAAATTCGAGAAAACCTATCAGCTTCGCTGTTAGGTTAAAAAAATTATCCCGGCAAAGCAACCTAACAGCGCTGTGTAGAAGCATATCTGACAGCATTCCCCTTAAGATTCAGATGAAAATCCAGTTGTCGAATTCTGCTGTTCTCGCAGTCGTTGTCGCATTCGCGATGACAGTCGCAGCGGCAACGGCAGTCGCAGTCACAGCCTCAGCCTCAGCCTGCCTCAGGCCTCAGCCTCAGCTGCCTCAAGACCTCAGCCTGCCTCAGCCTCAGCCTCAGCCTTGCTTCAGCTGCTTCAGGCCTCAGCCTCAGTTGCCTTCAGCCTCGTGCGTCGCCTCAGGCTCTGACTCGCCTCATGCTGCATCAGCCTCAGCCTCAGCCTCAGCCTGCCTCAGCCTCAGCCTCAGCCTGCCTCAGCCTCAGCCTGCCTCAGCCTCAGCCTCAGCCTGCTTCAGCCTCAGCCTCAGTCTGCCTTCAGCCTCTGCCTCAGCCTCAGCCTGCCTCAGCCTCAGCCTGCCTAAGCCTCAGCATCAGCCTGCCTCAGCATTCAAAATGTGGCCCGGGAATGGAGTTCTGGGAACTCGAAGACCACGAAGTGGCTTTTTCTTTGTTTCTCTTTTCTACAACCGTTGGCTCCGGGAATTCAAAATGTGGCCCGGGAATGGAGTTCTGGGAACTCGAAGAACACGAAGTGGCCTACAGTTGGCTCCGGGCATTCAAAATCATGCCCAGGAATGGAGTTCTAGGAACTCGAAGACCACGAAGTGGCCTACAGTTGGCTCCGGGCATCCAAAATGTGGCCCGGGAATGGAGTTCTGGGAACTCGAAGAGCACGAAGTGGCCTACAGTTGGCTCGGGGCATCCAAAATGTGGCCCGGGAATGGAGTTCTGGGAGCGCCAAGAGCGATTTTGCGAGGATGTCTCAGGCGATTTGGGTGGCGGCGGCAGAGCGCCGGCAGATCGCCGGATCCCGCCCAGACCCCCCTGGGGAGTCATGATGCTCTCTTTTGACCTTATTAGAAACCTATCAGTCTTCGCTGTTAGGTAAAAAAAATATCCTGGCAAAGCAACCTAACAGCGATGTGTAGGAGCATATTTGGAAGCATTCCCCTTAAGATTCAGATGAGAATCCAGTTGTAGAATTCTGCTGTTCTCGCAGTCGTAGTCGCATTCGCGATGACAGTCGCAGTGGCCTGCATCAGCCTCAGCCTCAGCCTCAGCCTGCCTCAGCATCAGCCTCAGCCTCAGCCTCAGCCTCAGCCTGCCTCAGCCTCAGCCTCAGCTGCTTCAGCCTCAGCATCAGTCTGCCTGCAGCCTCGGCCTCAGCCTCAGCCTGCCTCAGCCTGAGCCTGCCTCAGCATCAGCCTCAGACTCAGCCAGCCTCAGCATCGCCTGCCTCAGCCTCGGCCCTCAGACTGCCTCAGCTCAGCTGCCTCAGCCTCAGCCTCAGCCTGCTCAGCTCTGCCTCAGTCAGCCTTCTGCCTTGGCTCAGCTCAGCCGGCTCCATCCTCTGCCTGCCTCAGCTCAGCCCATCAGCCTGCTCAGCATTCAAAATTCAGCATTCAAAATGTGGCCCGGGAATGTAGTTCTGGGAACTCGAAGAACACGAAGTGGCCTACAGTTGGCTCCGGGCATTCAAATTCATGCCCAGGAATGGAGTTCTGGGAACTCGAAGACCACGAAGTGGCCTACAGTTGGCTCCGGGCATTCAAAATGTGGCCCGGGAATGGAGTTCTGGGAACTCGAAGAGCACGAAGTGGCCTACAGTTGGCTCCGGGCATCCAAAATGTGGCCCGGGAATGGAGTTCTGGGAAGTCGAAAAGCACGAAGTGGCCTACAGTTGGCTCCGGGCATCCAAAATGTGGCCCGGGAATGGAGTTCTGGGAGCGCCAAGAGCGATTTTGCGAGGATGTCTAAGGCGATTTGGGTGGCGGCGGCAGAGCGCCGGCAGATCGCCGGATCCCGCCCGGACCCCCCTGGGGAGTCATGATGCTTTCTTTTGACCTTATTAAAAACCTATCAGTCTTCGCTGTCAGGTAAAAAATTATCCCGGCAAAGCAACCTAACAGCGATGTGTAGGAGCATATCTGGAAGCATTCCCCTTAAGATTCAGATGATAATCCAGTTGTAGAATTCTGCTGTTCTCGCAGTCGTAGTCGCATTCGCGATGACAGTCGCAGTGGCAACGGTCACAGTCGCAGTCACAGCCTCAGCTCTCAGCCTGCCTCAGCCTCAGCCTCAGCCTCGCCTCAGCCTCAGCTCTGTCGGCCTCAGCCTCGGCTGTCAGCCTCAGGCTGCCTCAGCTCAGCCTGGCATAGCCTCAGCCTCAGCCTGCCTCAGCCTCAGCCTCAGCCTGCCTCAGCCTCAGCCTGCCTCAGCCTCAGCCTCAGCCTGCTTCAGCCTCAGCCTCAGTCTGCCTTCAGCCTCGGCCTCAGCCTCAGCCTGCCTCAGCCTCAGCCTGCCTCAGCCTCAGCATCAGCCTGCCTCAGCATTCAAAATGTGGCCCGGGAATGGAGTTCTGGGAAATCGAAGAACACGAAGTGGCCTACAGTTGGCTCCGGGCATTCAAAATCATGCCCACTTGGAAAACCGCCTTGGTTACTAAATGGTTCAGGGTGATCCAGATCAGTTGTATACGGATTGCAAGCGGTTTGTATGTGTGTGATACAACTTGTAAGCACGCGATGTAGGCCCAAATAGGAGTGAATAGGATAGCTTGAATAGCTAAGTCGGTGACCAGCGGAAGCTGGTTCTCCATGTGGTTATCATATCTTGCGAAGTAGGATCGCCAAGTTACTTCATGTAGGTTGTAAGTAAGGTTAGCGGAGGAGGAAAGGGAGGGCGAGGAGGAGGAGGAGGAGGAGAAGGTGAAGGAGGAGGAGTAGAAGGAGCAGGCAGGGAGCAGAGAGGGGGGTGAAGGAAGAGGGTGAAGAGGATGAGGCCCTCGTCTTGGGCATTCCACCTTTCCCATTTGCCGCCCCCCTCGTGGGTTGCCGTTTTGGCTCGGGCCTACAGTGGATCTTGCTTTCAGCGTGGTCTCCATCTCGGACGCTGGGTATCGCCAGGATGCCGCTGTCCGCTGAGATGGAGCAGAACCTTCAGAATGTGCAGAAGAACTGCTCGCGCCCATGGACGACCCCAAAGTGACGACGAAGCAGGAGATGGCGACGGCTCAGCAGATCAAGAGACTCCTGCTGGAGTCGGACTTCGCCTACGAGGTGACGGAAGATAAGGAGGCGTTCGCGCCTCATCCAGAGAACCGCTACACCATGGGCCTTGAGCCGATGGACGTGCACGATCTCTTGCAGCTGATCGCCAACAAGGGATGGTGCGACGACGCAGCCGCTGGAGCGACGGCGTTCGAGCTCAGCGAGGACCCGCAGACCAGGGCAAAGCAGCTGCAGTTCCAGGTGGCAGGGCGGGCCACGGGCGCCTGTTGGATGTCTGGTATGCTGTCGGGCAGAGTTTAACCATGTGCTCTGCAGCGTCCTGGGCTCCAATGGGCACTCGTGGCACCTCCCTTCCACTGAAGGTGGATCTCGTGGCCCGCTCGGGCGAACTGCTTGCCCCGTCGGAGCCCCACGAGGTCAAGTACCTGACGGTCGGTGGTTCCCACACGCTTGCTGGCAGCAGGTGCGTGCATCACAGATGCAAGAGCCACGTCGCAGCGCTGTGCACGGAGGACGGCAGGCTTTCTCGCGAGAAGGTCTTGGCCCATTGCCCGACCTACGCTGTGCCGCTCGACCGAGGCATGCACTTCACCATCATCAGGAAGGACATCGAGCAGGTGTGCCCAACGTTGCCAGAATTTCTCCAGCGCGCTGGCAACGCCAAGCACGGAACGGAGAGGCAGCAAACGCAGATTCAGTTGTTGTGCCAAATACACCAGATGGCGATTGCCAACTACCAGAAGCACGGCGACTCCCGCTGGGACTACATCGCGAGGGAGGTGAACAAGATTCCCTCGGCCAAGGGCATCGCGATCGACCTGTGCGCATACGTCCGCCAATGGAGTGGCGGTTCGGCAGCCCCATTTCTAGCGGAGCTGAAGGAATTCGCGTCGAGCCTGGCGGTGCGCCGTGAGATCAAGGGCCCCGTGTGGAGGGCGTTGGCTAGCTTGGAGTTCTCGCAGGGGGCTGAGTACGTCACCTCGTGCGTGAAGGCGATGATGTGTTCGCCAGACCACTTCACGCGCGATGGCGAGTCGACCCTGCTGGCATCGAGCGATATCCAGACCACCATCGGAAAAAAACAAAGTGAAGTGCATCGAGGCCGCGTGCATGGCCCGCGCAGCTGCCGCATTCGTGAAGGCTTTCCCCGAGATCCCAAAGTCTGATCGTGTGAAGCTGGTCGCGTCGATGGAGACTCGCGCAGTCATGGGCATCCACGGCAAGAAGTCGCGCTGCAGGCAGCACGACGATACGCTGAAGGGCGTCCAGGTCATGTTCTTGCAGGAGTTGTACCAGCTGCATCCCAGCGCCAGGTCGATGGACCCGCCTTTCTCCGTCGACGGCGCCTCGAGGGTTCAAGCCATGGACTCCAACGCCAGCGCCAGTGGCATGCGCGAGTTCGCAGGTGCGTCCATCAGCGTGGACGGGGCCAAGGCCATGGGCTACACAGTCGGGTGCATCCTGAAGCCGCGCGCCACCGACGCCGAGTCCAAGCCGATGGTGCTCATGAACTTTGTCGGCCAGGAGGTGGTCATCAGGTCCGAGTTCGAGGGCGACCTGGACTTTGAGGTCAAGGGCGAGCCGCCCACGCCGCCGCCGACGATCACCATGTCCCTGGCCAAGTGCATCGACGATTTCAAGGCCAGCCTTTTTTGATTATGGTTCGTCGTCGTTGTCATCGTCGTCGTCTCCCTCCGATCTGGGTTTAACGAGGAGGCCGAGGAGGGAAGGAGGAAGGGGCTGGGAGAAAGGAGGGAAAGGGGGAAGAGGCTTGGCGGAAGGATGTAATGATGGCGCGATCGGGGAGGAGCGGATAACATGATGAATCGATCAAGCGACCCCCCCTCCCCCGATAGGTGTACGTGCGCCCCGTTGTGCACGAGTGGATCTACAGCACGATCGACAACGTTTTGGACTGCCCCTGCCCCCTCCCTCCGAGGGGGATGGATGAGGGGGTTGATGGGGGGAGGTGGAGGCGGAGGAGGAGGAGGAGGAGGAGGAGGAGGAGGAGGATGAGGAGGGGGGGGAGGCGGAGGAGGAGGAGGAGGAGGAGGAGGAGGAGGAGGAGCGATCAGGAGCGATCAGATGAAAGGACAGCGTACGTCCACAAACGGCGCCATGGCCTTCGGTGACCTGGCCCGCTTGAGGGTTAAAACTGAGGCCTCAGTTTTAACCCTCGGAAGTGGCAACTTGAGCCACAGTGCGAGTGAGATTGGTAGTGAGGTCGAAATGGGAATCGATCGATAGTGAGGTCGATATTGATACCGATCGTGGGGCCGATGGGGAGATCGAGCGATCGTTGAATCGATTGTGGGGTCGGTTTGGGGGTCAACAGAGATATTGGTAGTGAGATCGATCGATAGTGAGACCGATTGAATGAGACGATCGTGAGATCGCTAGTGAGATCGATCGATATTGCGATCTATATTGGGATCGATTGCAAGATCGATCGTGGTATCAATCGATAGGCGTACCGATAGTGAGATGGATCGAGTGATATCGATAGTGATATCGTCAGGGATCGATAGTCCGATCGATATTGAGATCGATAGTGGTTTCCATTGCGTCACCATGCATTGCCACTATACCCTCCTAATCATGCGTCGTCGCCAACCCGAGGGCTTCCTGAGGCACGGGCACGAGGAGGCGGAGGAGGATGAGGATGACGTCCACATAGGGGGGTGCCCCGAGAAGGCCCCAGGAAGGGCCCAATAAGAGGGTGAATTACGGTGCGGTGGGTGTATTTGCTTCAATGAATTCTTGACGCTTCTCGTATCCCCACCAGCCCATCCAGAAACGATCAGCAGGTGAGTTCATGCAGTCGCACAGCCGTCTTCGAGAACACAAGCATCACACGTAGTTACCCGCATTGAAGTTTAAGATGGGAATTGGTGCAGGCTGCGATGGTGCTTCGATGAGAGGCGAGGGGTACTTCGATGACTCGTAATGGCTGTTGCACTGGTTTGTATCTTAAACTCGCGTGCGTTCCGAAACTTGGAGGCAGCTTGGGGCCCGCTTGGGATTCTCTTGGGCCCTTCTTGGGGCCTCCTGTGGCTCTTTCTTGGGGCTCTCCTGAGGTCATCTTAGGGCCCTATTTGGGCTTCGTGGGGCTCTGTTGGGGGGTCTGGGGGCCCCCTCGGGGCTCTGTTGGGGGGTCTGGGGGCATTCTTGGGGCTCTTGGGAGTGGTCTGGGAGGCCTCTTGGGGCAGTCTTAGGCAGCAGTGATCAAACAGAAAGGCGGCGCTAAATCCTGCCCACCCCTCGGAGGCTCAAACATGCCGTCTTGGGGCCCTCGTGGCCCGCTCTTGGAGCGCTCGTGGGCGCTCTTGGGGCCGTATTGTGGCTCTCATGGGTCCCTCTTGGGGCTGCCTTAAGGCAATCTTGGGGCCATCTTGAGGCCTCAAGAGCCCTTCGGAGGCGAAGCAGCGAGAAGGCAAACAACATTGATTTTCCTTAGGTGTTTGAAGGGTTTGGGCATCTTGGGGAGTTGTCCTTGGGGGCCTCGGAAGGCCCTTGAAACCGTCTTGGGGCCGTCTTGAGGCCTCTTGGACGCGTGTCGGAGGCTATCTTGACCCGTCTACCGCTAGCTTGGGCCATCTCGGTGGCAATATTGGAGTCTCTGGGGCCCTCCTGTAGAGATCTTGGGCCAAGAAGGACGCTCTGACACATCGGGACCCCCCCCGCCCTGTCGAGATGCAGGGAGGGGGGGAAGTAAACCTCCCGAGCAGGGAAAGGGAGGAGGTTGGAAACTGAAACGCACTAGACCACCTGCGCCCAGAAGGCTGGTGGGATTACACCCAACGAGCCGTAAGGCATCCTGGTTCCGTGGTCTGTCGGCGCATGACAAGCCGTTTTTGTCGGTGGTCCCCTCGGGTTGAAAATCATTTGTGGTTTTTTGTTCGGGGCGCCGTCGGGGCTGCAAGGTCTTGTTTTTTGGGTGCCTGCGTTCTTCGCTGTCGTCTTCGTTTCCGATGCCGCCGCCCCTCGCGGGAGGGGAACCCCTCCGTGATGGCGGACCAAGCCGTGGCCAACGTGAAGAAGGCCTTGTGGGGACTGTGCTGCGAGCTCAAGGCTGAGCGGTCCGAGCATGCTCTCTCGTTCGCCGTCTCTCTCAGCGACGGTCAGAGGCCTCAGATTGTGTCGGTCACCGCGGCAGGTGACATCCCCAAGCACGGGCTGAAATTCGTGCCCATGACCACGTATGTGGGAACAGGGCCCAAGGTCCCAACATCCGCAGTGGAGGTCGAGGTGGCGGGTTTGGCCAGCGGCCAAAAGTGCTGGCTGGTTCCAAAGCTCGAGCTCGCCCCCATCCCCAAAGGCCCCGAGCCCCTTAAGGTGCCGTTCTGGGCCGTCCCCACAGGCAAAGCCCCGTCGACTGTGAATATGTGCGTCAAGTGGCAGCGCGTGCACGTGTCCGCTGGCGAAGGCCAGGCCACGTCGTTCGCGCGCATTCCTTACCTCACGAATCCCGCCCCTATCAAGAAGGGCGATAAGCTTTTCAAGCCCGTGCTTTCGCCTGCGGAGCCCGATCCGTCGGCGGCTTCAGGCTCCAGCTCGAAGGCCAAGCCGAAGGCTCCGTCGAAGGCTGCGCCTGTGCCCAAGAGGGCCAAGGGGAGCTGAGCTGCTGGAGCGTCCGTCCGAAGCAGCTTGACATAGTTGGAAGGGCAGTGGGGAGGCTGATGGGGGGAAGGGTAGTGGACGACAACGGGGAGGGCACTGGACCGTTGTGTATATGCAGCTCTGCACCGCCGTGGCTGTGCACCCCCTTGCCGCTGCTCGAGTGTCCGAGCGGCTACGGCGGGAGGCAGGTAAGTGATTGATTGGTAGGCTGCCCTTCGCACATATCGTGCGCTCCAGCGTCGGGCTGGCTTGCGTGTTTTTGCGTGTGAAGCGATGCTCGTGGAGCGGGGCTGGCCTCGACGCGGAACATGTGTGGGCTTTATAGGGGCATCTCTTGGAGCCCTCTGGGGAGCCCGTTGGAACTGCGTCAGTGCCTTCGCGAGCCATCGGAGAGGCGCACGGGGGCCCCGTGGCATCTCCAAGAGGGCCCGAAGACGACCCCAAGAGGCTTCCAAGACGGCCCAAGAAGCCCCCCAGGCGGCAAGTTCGAGCGACAACGTTCGGTATCGCATAGAATGGGGGAACAACCATTGGCACGCAATGAAAGGATAGCATCTCCGTTTCGGGCCCCGTCTTTACAGAAACGCCTGCTGTTCGGGCCCTCTTGGAGCCGTCTTGGAGCTCTCTGGGGCGGTCCGTAGGCTTCTCTTGGGGCCATATTGCCCCCGCCCATGAAGCTCCGTAAACGGTGCAAGATAGAGGGGGTGCACGCATACGGTACAAGATAGAGGGTTGCACGTAAACGGTACAATATAGAGGGTTGTACGTAATACCAGATAGAGGGTTGCACGTTAACGATACAAGATAGAAAGTTGCACGTGAACGGTACAAGATAAACGGACATGTACACGCAAACGGTGCATAATTGAGGGTTGCACGTAAACGGTACAAGATCGAGGGTAGAATCGACGCGACTGGAGGGTTGCACGTAGACGGTACAAGATAGAGGGGTTGCACGTAAACGGTACACAATAGAGGGTTGCACGTAAACGGTACAAGATAAATTGTACCAGATAGAGGGGAGTCGTCGGCGTCGTCGTCGACGTCGTCGGCCAACGCCATCTCGCAATCGGCCCCATAGACCCCTCCTGAGGTCTAAACGCACAAGTTGTTCGAGCCGCGTCCAGCGGCTGCGACGATGGGGGCCCTCGAGGGCCAGAAGCATGCCCCGAAGCTTCGTGGGCTCGTGGAAGACAGCACTGCAAGCATGGGGTCGCCTGAAGACAAATGTCCTGGGGCCGCCTCAAATAAGTATCATCAGAAACGACATCGCCGTCCGTAACAATTTCGGCTCTGGCTCAAACGAGGTCGCTCAGCTCCCCGCGCCCTGCCATCGACCTACGCGCGGGCCGCTCGCGTCGACATGTGCTCGATCGTGGAGGGGTTCGTCCAAGTGAGTCGGGCAGCCAGCCCGAACAGTGGCAACAGCTGGTACCCGCTAGTCGTGCAGCACACCGACTTGCGCAAGTACGTCGTGGCCGACAAGCTAGATAACAAGCTCGTGCGCTTCGCAGGCGGCAAGGTTGCCATGATCGACGAGCTGGTGCGGTTCAGGAACAAGCGTACCAACGAGATGATGGCCGTGGCGGACATGGGCGTCGACCCGCTGGGCGGGCCCTCCCAGTCCACCCCCGCTGTGTACCAGCTCAAACGCCCGCGCAAGGAGCTGATTGACGAGATCGACAGCTCGACGGTGATCACCGCTAAGTTGGAGGACGGCGCCTCGCGTGACGTTCGGGTTCGCACTGCGGCGGACCCCAGGGCGAAGTTGTGTCTCGAGCTCACGCCAGATTCGATGGACCTACTCTGCGAGACCCCCAGCGTGCCAGATGTCAGCGACGAGTTCATCCCGATCATTGACAGCGAGGTGGTGGAGTGGGTGCGGCACAGGCGGTCGTGCAGGGTGCAGTTCTTTGCGCAAGCCTCGCAGAAGTGGAAGATCAAGTCCATGAAGGTGCCTAGTGCCGCAACTGAGGCGGCCTACCAGGAGAACGTGAACAGGGTGGTGGCGGTGTTGGAGGCGTTCTACCACGAGT